CATAAAACTGCAACATTTGAAAGATCGTTTAGTTACAATATGCCAAAAATTTACAACGCCCTACCGTTGCCTCTCAAATCGCTGTCTGTCAGTTGTTTCAAAAAAAAATATAAAGCCTTTCTTTTTAATTCCCAATAACTAGTACCTAATTACAATCATATAATTGTTTCGCTTGCATATCTCTTCTGTGTGATATCGTATTACTTTTCTTTTTACTATATATGTGTATGTATGTATTTAATATTTTAAGTGTTTAAAGTGCGACTTAAATGCCGTGGCGCATCTAGCATGGGTTAAGTGGAAGAACAGTGTGTTGTCCTCTGGACGACACAGCTGAACTTCGCCCTTTCATATATTTGTATTTTAGTACATGTGTCTGTTTTTTATGCTATATATGAATAAAGAATATTATTATTAATATTATTATTATTATTATTATTATTATTATTATTATTATATTTAAAAAATTGTAACAATTTGTTTCAGTTAATACTATTAACACTGGATTAAATGCTACTAAGACCGCTTCTAGTTTTAATTTATGTAAATGATTTTATACATTTTATGTCGTCAAAGAAATAGATTTTCTTTGCTGATAATAACACTTTTTTAATACAAGTGTCAGAGAGGAATCCTTGATGGACTCTAGGTAGGTTACTAATGAGATGGCAATAAATGGCCAAACTCAGCAATTGTTTTGGTCTAATAAAATGGCCAAAAATAATAATAAGACTTCATTGCATGTTTTATCAGTGGTTATTGATAAAGTTTTATCCTGGAGGAATCATGTAAATAATCTCTATGTCAAGTATAGTTTTTTTAATTAGACTATTATGTGGCTTTCTCAATTATGTTATGGTACATGGTATCTATTTTAGCTTATTTTATTCGCGTATTTCATATTGTGGAATAATTCCAGTGCTCTTCTTTATTTATTTCTTTATTATGTATGTCTTTTAGACATACATAATAATAAGAAATTTAACGAACTCTAAAAAGAATTTATTAAACTTAAAATCATATAATAAACTAACAATAAGCCCAATAACTAGATCTAAAAAATAAAATAAATGGTCATATTACAAATAATGCTTACTACTCTGTAAAAGGAATATTTGGAAGATACTAATATCATCTAACATTTAATAAATAAATTCCTTGTATGGAATCTTCTTTTTGAAAGAAGACTAAAAAAGGCGTATATATCCTATGAGCAGTGTCGCAGAACCGTGGGCTGAACCTGGAGAATGAAACCAAAAGTGGTCATGTGGATTGCCACTGTGAGACCAATGTTAGCCTAGCTCAGTCAGGTACAAGGGATTGCCTGTCTGAGCATAAGCACCATAAGCACCTTTTTCTCTGTAATAGGTTGGTTAGCGGCTCAGGTGGATTTATCTCCTACTGGGAGGAAGTACAAGGAGCCCAGTGGGGCTTAATTGCTGTAGCTCTTTAAACTACCCTACCTAAAATTTTAGATTTCATATTCCAGATTCCAGAGATTCCTTGTATGTATTGTTATGAGGTGCTGCTCTTCTGTCATTGCATTCTCCTATTTTTATTGCATTTTTGGATTCTAAGTGACTTTTATAAAATAATTGTGATAATGTTTCTGTATAAAATTTATTTGTTGTAAAAATACCAGTTGTTCTGCAGTTCAAATTGTAATTTTATACAGCACAGATGTGAGAATGTATTTAGACATATATTGTTATATTATAGGGTGAATAGGATTTATATATTTTAAATTATTTGTTTAACAATAAAAACTGTTGTACAGTTCAGACAGAAATTTGACATGCCATATTTATTTATTTATTTTAATTCATGTCAATACACACCAGAGTGTTTACACACGTCAAAAGAAAAGGAAAAGAACATAACTTAGTACGCTGAGAACACTTACTATATAAAAAATATATAAAGATAGGTAAAATCAATATAAAATAGTTACAGACTAACAATATCAATAAAAATACTACAAACATACAAAACAATACATGTAGATAGGTACAGATGATAAGAACCAACAAATAGTTGAAACTAACAAATTAAATACTGTGTAAGTCACTTGATAAAAATTGATTAAAATCATAAAAAGCGTTTCTCAATAAATAATTCTTAATTCTTTTTTTAAAAGTATTTATATTTAAAATCCTTACATAGTCAGGAATAGCATTAAAGAACTTTAAACCCCAATATCCTGTACCATTTCGTGTTCTAGTTAGTCTTAGAAGTTTATTTGAGAGATAGTTCCTATTGCGGGTTTTATAAGTGTGAATTGCATGATTACAGTTAAATGACTCTATATTGTTTCTAACATACATAATACAGTTGAATATATAAGTACATGGGAATCATCTCTATAGTTTAAGCCCGATATCATCCTGATAGCCTTTCTCTGTTGTGAAAACACTTGCCGGCTCGAGGGAGCGTGACCCCAAACAAGGATTGCATAAGTCAAAACAGAGTGAATGAGACTATGTTACACTGTTATTAAAATATTTCTAGATACTTTATATGAGCGAGTACGGAGCATATATAGATACTTTGATATTTTGGAACAAATATAATTGACATGCTGGTCCCATAATAATTTAGAGTCTAGGTATACTCCTAAGAATTTTACAAAATCTGGATTATTAAAATGTTCTCCACTTCGTAGGGTAAAAACCATAGTCACCGTTTTCGACTTGTTCAAACTCAAGCAAACCTATCACTTGCCCTTCACTGAATTTGAAATGATTTCTCTGTTAATAAAACTAAGTCTTTATTTCTATAGGTTTATTAGTATCGTTAGCAAATAACACACTATCAATATTTCCATCTAAAGAAATTGGAAAATCGTTTATGTAAATTAAAAATAGCAGAGGGCCCAGTACTGAACCCTGGGGCACCATGAATAGTATTTTTTAAACCAGACTTAACACCGTTGTATTGAACATATTGAACTCTATTATTTAAATAGGATTCCACTAATTTTGTACTTTCTCCTGAGAAACCATAAAAATATAATTTATTTATAAGGATATTATGTGGCACACAGTCGAATGCCTTTGTTAAGTCTAGAAATTGGGAAGCAACAAACTCACCATCCTCAAAACCAACATTTATAATTGATGTTAAATAATAATCAATGGCCAAAGTAGTTGATAAGTTTCTTCGAAAGCCATAGTGGTGACAGTTAAAAAGTTTATTTGATTCAAAATAAGTTACAATTTGGAAACAGAAATGGGGCTGTAGTTCGATGGATCTTTGATATTATCTTTTTTATGTATCGGGACGACTTTCGATATTTTAAGATATTATGGAAAAGTATTATTATTGATGGAATAATTAATTAGATAAGTGACAGGAATTAATATACTGCTAGTTACCTTTCAGAATTTTGGATGACCAATTGTAAGCATCCATTGATATTTTGTTTTTTAGATTACCAACGACATTAGCAATTTCCCATGGAGACATTCGAAAAAGAAAATGTGTTTAAGGGTGCAAATTGTTGTTAATAAGTTTTTATTGTTGGATGGTAACCCGAAAATTATAATGTCAGCAGCATTTATAAAATAATCATTAAATTCGTCAGATGATACGTTTGATGAACTCAGGAAGCTATGACCGGGTAGGGATTTGTACAAATGTACGCAAATAGTGGTAAATAAATATACCTTTCAATATACACAGGATGTGACACTATAATGTGTTAAAAATGAAAGAGCGATTTTCTCATCCATATTTAAGAATATATTCTGATGTAATAGATACAGGGTGTTGAAGTTTTGATACAAAACAGAAATTTTAGTGTGCTAAAATTTTTAAGGTAACCGGTGTCATTCATACCTACGACACTGGTTTCAGATAAAACTTAATTTTTATTATTGTATTATGCGCACACAAACTTTGTTCGGAAAATAGTGATATAATGCTTTTTTCAAACATCAAAACTTTGTATCTTAAGGTAGAACAAGTTAGAAACAGTATCTCTTCACTGTACCAGTTATATACATTTTCTTAAGGGTATAAGGCAACTGACAATACATTCAAAATAAAGAAGAAAAGTATATTTTTACCTCGTTTCCTGAATTTTGAACTCCCGTTGAACAGGAAACTATTAACACATGCGTTAATCACAGTTATTGAATATCTTTACAAATGCTGGACAAAACAGGAAAGGTACATTTTCTGATGATTACATAAACCCCATGATCTTTCAAAGCGAAAAATTAAAGGAAGTTGCTATAGTTTAGTGTTTCGCTTCGTTACTTCTAGGATGGATCTATTGTCTTACTAAAAGTACGATTTTTGTCAGATTTAATAATAATAATCAATTTTTCTCCCGTCGTCAAATATCAGAAATATTGTATGGTGATTTTTTTTATTTATAATCTGACTAGCCACTGGATTCTGCATCTTCTTAATTGAGTTTGTAACAAATTTCATGAAAAAATATTTACTGGTGATAATTATGAAATAAAGTTAATGTGCATTATTATTACTGTTATTCCTAAAAGGGATAAACAATCTATAGAATCATAATTAAATCAAATAAAGTCACTGATCAATACTAATTCGTTCACTAATTTTGACAAATATTTTTACAAAATTAAAATTGCTTTTAAAAATTATAAATCCATTTCAAAATTAGGTTCTGTGTTTGACATCATTTGACCTAAAGTTAAATAACGAAGTATAACAAGCAGCAAAAAATATTAAAATTTTTTTTTTATTTTTTGAAAATTTTTGTGGAAAAATTATTTTAAAATTAAGTTTAACTGTAAATGATATTGTAAGTTATTTATTTGCAGTTATTTCTATTCGCGAACAAGCGTTTGATAAGAATTTATATTAAAATACAAAATAAACACGCGGATTGTAATTTTTTTAATCAACCTGATTAGATAACTTTTGTTTTATTAAAGATAAAATTCTCGGCGTGCTATAAACATGGATTGAGACTGACGCTTATAGATGGATAAATATAACAATCCATAGATCATATTAATTACTAAAAATCCGTCATTAGTTTCTAACAGTAACGTACAAACTACACACAAGTTCACTGTTAACAGATTGTGTTATTAGTGTAAACAGTTAGTTTCACGAACGCAACACATTGAAACTTTGTCAAAGATGCTTTGCAGACTGCAAAGTCGAATTCTAATCTTTAAAAGTGATATAAAATCGTAAGTTTTTACTATTTTTTTATCTTTGGATATGATTTAAGATGTAATGAAAACATTTCTATCGAACGGCGCAAAAATTAACACAGAACATTAATACATAATATTATACAATTACTTCCAAATGTAAATGAAACGTGTGATTTGAAGGTAGATTTTCTATGTTTAATTCACTTTTATTAAAATTCGTTATTCTCTTGCATTGTTTACAATATGCTGCAAAATCGTAATTGTAAATACTACTACAACCAATTTAAATAACAACTCAATCATTTTTAAATCGTCTGTGCCATTATTTAAACCGATGTTGAGAATAACATTTTAAACTGATTTATACTGTTCGTTATAATAAAATAGTAGGACCCACATACGATTTTTTTGCATATTCAAAGACTAGTGAGATGTTCCTTAACATGAATCAAGATGATGCCGGCTGGAAATCTGGAGCTCATTTATTTAAACAAACTTTTTTTAAACAAATTGTAAAAATTGGTTTTTTCACCCCGGAAGATTTTTTTAGATTTTTTGGCACATTATAAACAAAAAAGTTCCTAGGCACTATGCCTCTAAAATTGATAGTTTTAAAGTTATAAACAATTTAAATTGCTAAAAATGCGAAAATTACGACTTTCAACGGCCGATTACCGGGTTAAAAATTGTTATTTTTTATGTTGCCAGGTACCTAAATTAAAGTTTAAACATCTCCCTACAAGATGCTGAAGAGTTTTAGCGACTCTCATTATTTTAAAGCCTTGTTTTTTAATTGTGAATAATGCGCTGTGAGCCGCGCGCGCCTCTCTAACACGTAAATTTATTACCAAAGATCCATTACCCAAATAGTCCAAGCATTATAGAGAAATGCTTACAGAAATTATTACCTGGACAAAAAAAATATGACCGTATAGAAAATTAAATTTTAAATTGAGTTTCTTGTTCTTTAAACTCGATCCAATATGGCGAACATGGTTAAAAAAAATCGCAAAGTTGAAAAAAACGGTTTTTCTAAAATAACTAAAAAAATATAGCACGGATTGAAAAATTTTAAATGAGAAAGTTGTAGGTTTTAAAAAGATCTATCGACTGATTTTTTGAAAGTATCGATTGCTTTGTTACTTTTCGAGATATATCGAAAAAACCGTTAAAAATCTTCTCTTTTCTCTTCTTCTATAACTCGTTTACATTTACGTGCCCATATTTGCTATTTACTGCAAGCATAGCCCGCGGCAAGCCAAAAAAGTACATTTTTGAAAAATTTAAAAATATTAATTATTTTTCGAGATATATCGATTTTTTGAAAAAAAGGCGCTCTCGAAAATTGGCTAGATCTTCTCAGCGGATAGCCCTACAGTAACGATTTTCGGTTTATTTTCTTCGTAAAGAGTTATATTATCATGCTGTTAAAAAATGTTGACGATTTTATTAATTTTAAGGATCAAAAAATGACTTTGAATAAGTTGCACTTTTTTGGGTATGTTTTTTTCAAATTACTATTTCAATTTTTATTTTATGAAAATGACTTTTAAAGAAAGAAAACTAAACATTTACGGGTCTATTTTGCTTCTAAGGCGAAAATGCTATAATATTCGTGTTTAGCTACCCCAGATTAAGTACAAAAAAATAATAAAAATTGAAATAGTTATTTGAAAAAAACATACCCAAAAAAAGTGCAACTTTTTCAGTCATTTTTTGATCCTTAAAATTAATAAAATCGTCAACATTTTTTAACAGCATGATAATATAACTCTTTACGAAGAAAATAAACCGAAAATCGTTACTGTAGGGCTATCCGCTGAGAAGATCTAGCCAATTTTCGAGAGCGCCTTTTTTTCAAAAAATCGATATATCTCGAAAAATAATTAATATTTTTAAATTTTTCAAAAATGTACTTTTTTGGCTTGCCGCGGGCTATGCTTGCAGTAAATAGCAAATATGGGCACGTAAATGTAAACGAGTTATAGAAGAAGAGAAAAGAGAAGATTTTTAACGGTTATTTCGATATATCTCGAAAAGTAACAAAGCAATCGATACTTTCAAAAAATCAGTCGATAGATCTTTTTAAAACCTACAACTTTCTCATTTAAAATTTTTCAATTAGTGCTATATTTTTTTAGTTATTTTAGAAAAACCGTTTTTTTCAACTTTGCGATTTTTTTTAACCATGTTCGCCATATTGGATCGAGTTTAAAGAACAAGAAACTCAATTTAAAATTTAATTTTCTATACGGTCATATTTTTTTTGTACAGGTAATAATTTCTGCAAATTTAACATTAATCCGTGACAGAATGCTTGGACTAAAAGACTTAGTTAAACAATATAAATGTACAAAAAACTGTAAGACTAAAGATTGTTCTTGTAGGAAATACTTTGTCACTTGTGTACCTTTATGTGGTTGTAACATAGAACAGTGTGAGAATTATTATGACTGAATAAATGTGTGATAATAATAATATGCAGTATTAAATTAATGTTCTTTAATAAAAATGTATTTGATACTATTGCCCTTTTATTTTTTTCTGCACTCTATTCGTACAATTTTGAATTAATTAAATAAAATTATTATGAATTATGAAATTTAAATAATCAATTTTTACATTATTTTATGAGTAGCAATAGTACTTAGAATACTAAATTGAAAGAACATAAGCTGAAGCCGCTAGACGAAATAGCGAATCCGCGTATGAGAGGCGCGCGCGCTGCTCATAGCGCTTTATTAACAGTTAAAAAACAGAGCTTTAGAATAATGCCAGTCCCAAAAACTCTTCAGCATCTTCTAGGAGGATGTTTAAACTTTAATTTAGGTACCTGGCAACATCAAAAATAACAAATTTTAATCCGGAAATCGGCCGTTGAAAATCGTCATTTTCGCATTTTTAGCAACTTAAATTGTTTATAACTTTAAAACTATCAATTTTAGAGGCATAGTACATAGGAACTTTTTTGTTTATAATGTGCCAAAAAACCTAAAAAAAAATTCCGAAGTGTAAAATCCAATTCTTACAATTTGTTTAAAAAAAGTTTGTTTAAACAAATGGGCACCAGATTTCCGGCTGGCATCATCTTGATTCATGTTAAGGAACATCTCACGAATCTGAATATGCAAAAAAATCGAGTCGGAAAATTTCTCCCACGAATGCGAGGTTTTCGCCTTGTCTAACACATACTTTGGTAAGTGTAAGTTATGTCACGTCAAATATTGCGACGTTAACAGATTTATATTTTTTAATTCGATACACGAAAAATAATATAACATGGAATATAAGCAAATAGTTCCAGGAAAACGTAATACTACGGTTCAGCGACATCACACAATTAAAAATTATATTTTAATTTTAGGTTAAGGCGACAAAGTAAGCTAAGTTACTTGCACAATGTAGGATCGGAACCTCTAAGGCCTCTGACCCTAGGCAGACTTCTAGAGAGTACCATAGAGAAATACGGTGCTAACTACGCCGTCATCTCCAAACACCAAAATAAGAAACTGACCTACAGCGAGGCCTTCGATGAGGCAAACAGACTGGCGGCAGGTTTGAGCGCTCTGGGCCTAAAAAATGGAGATCGAGTAGGTCTTTGGGCGCAGAATATTATAGAGTGGTATGTCGCATTCTTGGCTTGTGCTAGAGCGGGATATCTCATGGTATTTTTTTAAATAATTTGCCTGGTTCCCATATATAATGGTTTATTTAAGGTAGCTATTAACCCAGCTTATCAGCCTAGAGAACTAGAGTACTGCATCAATAAAGTTGGAATTAAAAGTATTATATGTGGTCATAAGTTCAGAAAGCAAGACTACTATGAAGTTTTGACACACGTGTGCCCGGAACTTTCATACAGTGAACCTGGAAAGTTGAAAAGTAGACAGTTACCAACACTGCAAAGCGTTGTAACTATTTGTGATGAGACGTTAAGGTAAGAAGTGATCCAAGTCAGTTTGGAATTATTTTTTAATCTTAATGTTGACATTTTTGCACATTATTTTTTAGAGGCACATACAATTACAAAGAAGTGCTAGAACTAGCCACTGAAGACAGTATAAACTTCATTAAAAAAAATCAAGATAGAATTAAGATTGATGATCCAATCAACATACAGCTAACTTCTGTACGTATTTCCGTTATGTATGTTAAAAATGAACAGGGGTGAGTCGTATGGCACAAGTCACATTTGAGAAAGTATGACTAAATAAGACACGAAAGACAGGATACAAATTTTTAATTCAAAATGAATAAAATACGTCGCAAAGTGTCATTTGAAAAATACAGAGTAATACCAATCATGGTTTAGTTTATTTGACAAGTCATGTCAATGTTCTATTTCACTATATTAAATCCTCAGTTTTCGCCACAAGGAATGCACCTAGTTTTCTATGAATTTCTTTTAATTATTCAGAATTCAACTGAAGATTTATATTTGTTAAAACCTTATCTTATGGTTAATATTTCAACTAAATCAAAAAGCTTCTAGTTTGAAAAATTATTTTCTGTTTACCTACATGTATCTCATGTCTAATTGTAATTGTAAATGTTGAAAGGATACATTTTTTAATTCTGTCTCAAAGAAATATTCAACTGCTGCAACTTAAATTGCAAAATAGTGTATAGCCTAAGGAAGTTAGACGAAAAAAGGAGAAAACCTTAACAAAAATCCCTCCAAGCTGAATTTTTGCACAGACGTTCTTTGAGGTGTCCCAAATCCAAATCCGCAAAAATCACAAAAATCACAACATAGTTACCCAAAATATTAAAGGTTAAAGTTTATTTGCAAATATTTCACGTTCTATGTATCGGACATCCATAAGGTGTGAAAGTTATAGAGAATTCAATTATCTACAAAATTGGTCTTCGTATTTTTTCCCAAAATCTCTCTCGCTCATTTCGAAGTTCCAAAGAAAACAGTTTTTCGCGATGCATGGAACGCAAATATTTGCATAAAACTTTTACTTTTAATATCTATTTATAAAATATTATTTTCACGATCAGAATGAAGAAAAATGTCCTTCAGGAAGTACAGAAAATATTTTAATCTAAATAAAAATAAAAAAGGGAGTAAATAAATAATTTAAAAAATATTTAAGGATCCCTGGTGAAAATTAATAGAGGTCTCTCATGTAAAAACCTGTTCATCCTCTCTTTGCTGATATATCGCTTTTGAAACTGAGATTGAAAAATGTTGTTTTTATTTTTTTCCTACTGTCGATATCTGGATAACTTCTTGATCTTCCCCGTAAAATGCAAGGGATAGAAATAACCAACCCTACAAGAAATTTTTCACATTGCCATTATAGTCATTTAAAAATCTGTTTTCTTTTCCCATTTGAAGAGGCATACATTTACACGAAACATTGTTATAGATTACCAATACAGGGTGTCCCGTTCATGTTCCAAAAAACTTGTGTGCAAGTGCATCATGGGAAAATAATAGGGGTAATTCATGTAAAGTTTTTTTTCTTAGACGCCCTATTTTCGAGATACTGTGTGTTGAAGTTGTTACTTTCCAAATGGTTTTCCTTAATTATCTTTAATTCGGCTAAAGCTAAAAATGTCAAAATTTGTACACGAGTAAACATCATCTGTGCGTTAAGAATAATGTGGAAACGGTTTCTTTCTGAAAAGCAGTGTCGCCGATACAGGTAATTGATTACATTTCTAAACGGTTCTGTAAACTCTAATTGATACTGCAAAAAAAGGTATACTTGTCGAAATTCAGTAGCATGTACCATTTTCGAGAAAAATGAAGTTGCATTTTTTTTTTCTCACATAAAGCGGCACTAGTACATTAGCAAAATATTAAATTGAAAGAGGACCTTACCATTGAATGAGCTGAAGACATTACGAACAGTATTTGCATTTAAGACTATAATTTTAATTTCTTACGTATCACATGAAACAGTTAAATTGTAAAACATTTTTTTAACTAAAAAAAAGTAAATTTATTTTAAGTTTCAGTTTGTTGTAAACTAACATTTAAAAAAGTAAATCAAAATAAACAGGTTATGGTTATTAATTATCTATTATTAACTAATTTTATATTTTGTAAACTACTACACTACCATTATCTACTAAAATAAACAATTGTTGAATGGACTGAATTGTTGATGGACACGAATGCTTAAAAAAAGTGATAAAAATAGAAAAATATTAGGAAACAGACTCGGAGACATACAGAACAAAACGGCTGCACAATTAAATAAATGTGCAAACGCGAAATACTACAGTAAATACTGAAATTGTCCTCCATTTCCTTCTATGCAACTTCATTTTTCTCGAAAATGGTACATGCTACCGAATTTCGACAAGTATACCTTTTTTTTTGTAGTATGTTTTAGAGTTTACAGAACCGTTTAGAAATGTAATAAATTTTGATTTTTAACATATTTTTTTTCGATTGTACCCCTCCAATTACCTGTATCGGTGATACTGCTTTTCAGAAAGAAATCGTTTGCACATTATTCTTAACACACAGTTGATGTTTACTCGTGTATAAATTTTGACATTTTTTTCTTTAGCCGATTTAAAGATAATTAAGGAAAACCATTTGGAAAGTATTCAACACACTGTATCTCGAAAACAGGGCGTCTAAGAAAAAACTTTACATGAACCACCCAAATTATTTTTCCATGAGGAACTTGCACACAAGTTTTTTTGAAACATGAACGGGTCACCCTATATATTAAATTTAATAATCTGAATTTCATTTACATAAATAAAATTAAGCCAAACAAACAATTTGCGTAGTATTACCTAGGTATATGCGTCTAAGAAAATCTTATTTAATCATTTCTGGTACGATACTGGATCCATCTGTCTAAATTTATGAATACCGTCTTTACCCGTATCTCACTTATGGACAGTTTTGATTTGTTGACCAAAATAACCATTTTAGGGAACAACAGGGCATCCTAAAGCGGCAGCTGTCAGTCATTTTGGTCTAGTGAATAATGGGTATTATATAGGTAAAAGAAACGAACTGGATACAAAACATCATACGATATGCGTCCTAGTACCATTATTCCATGGATTCGGAACTGTAATAACAATTTCTGCCAGCGTGAACCATGGTGCAACACTGGTGCTTCCCTCTGATGGATTTGATCCTAACAAGTCGCTTGATGCCATAAAGGAAGAGAAGTAAGTTGCAAATTTTATAAAGACAGCTATAAAAATTGAAAGAAATTCAGAACATATTATTTAAATCAATTTAATACCCTTAAGAAATCAAATCCAAAATCGAATACTAAAACTAGTTATACTTAACTTGCCTGGTGTGATAAACAGAAATTATATTATAATGGTATAAAATATGCAACAAATAAATTGAAAAATAACCAAGTTTTTTACTTAGATTATGTTGGTTTTTTTTTGCAACTACCTTTTTATATATTTAATCCCATTTTGTTCACTAATCATTAATCAATAACCTGATGTTTGGAAAATTATTAAAATTTGTACAATTCTTGAGAGGGGCATTCTTCTTATGTGAATGATTATAGACCAGTATCTATTAATAATAATAATTGATAGGGTTTCTGAGTTTTTATAAGGGCTTTAGACGTTTAAGAGTAAGTGGACGTTATTTACAGAGATATTCAGAATATGGTTGACCGGATCGTTATCATTGTCACTATCACTATCACCATCACCATCACTATCACTATCACTACCGCTATAACTATCACTATCACTACCACTATCACTATCACTATCATTATCATTGTCATTGTCATTATCATTTTCGTTATCATTATTATTATTAACATTTTGGATAATGCTTGAGTTTTGACGTATTTATTTTTGTCGTATTTTTTAGTTGCACTATAATTCATGGTACACCAACAATGTACGTAGATCTGGTGAGAGTACAGAAAGAGAGACGAGAAAAAATTTCTCCAGAAATAGCCGTGACTGGGGGAGCACCATGTTCTCCATCTTTATTTAAAGACATGTTGAACGTAATAGGATTAAAAAAAGTAAAAGTAGGTATATACAAACAGTCGATCGAGGCAAGCTTAAGGAAAAATTTCTTATAGCTGTTTTACATTGACAATTTATTCATCAATAAATTGACTAAGTTCTTCATCAATTAATTCACGAATTTATTGGTAAACAGTGTAGTTTTACACTGCTACAGACTTTGTCAAGTTTTTTGACGTATGAATCAGTTCTACCAATGAATCAAAGAAGCAAATAATTTTCAAAAATGTCACCTTTCCACTCATAATTGTAGTGATACAACAGCGGTACCGTTCTGACACATATTATATAAATATTAGTTTTTGTAAATAAAAAGTCAGTAAAAACAATGCAAAACTAGCACGACGCCACACAATTATTTACATATTCCAATAACATAACCTCATTACTGATCTGAGGCTGGAAATCTGATGAGTTGGTACTTCCGAACTTCACGAAGAAATTGACGAAAATTAGAACCTGCTCTAATTCGTCAAGAACTTGATGAATAAATTGATGAAGTTATTTGACAGCTGATTTGGTGCATTACACTTGTCCAATTTCTTGATAAAGCCACTTCATCAATTAATTGATCAATAAATTGTCAATGTAGAACAGCTTTTAGATAAAAATTATTATTGGCCTTTTTATTGTCAGTTTAAAAAAGAATCATTTTTTATATTTCAAGAACGCGATGATAATTTAAGAAACAATTTATACAGTTACACTTACATTTGATTCGTAGGAAACAATGCTAGTACTTAACACTGTAACTCGGTTTTTCAGTTACCAGTGGCGTAGGTATGAGGAGGGGAGGGACATTTCGAAAAAACTTAATTTCTACTCTATGACTTGTTTTAAAATATATCTGTATACATTACTCCTGTTTAATTTTTGTACTTATTCGATTTTAAATTACGTATCAGTGATTGCATTTGTTTTATAATAGTAACTACAGCGTTCGAAGGAATTTTTTATTTATAAATTAAAACAAGTAAGAAACTGCAATCAAAACGAAGTTAGTATAATGGTATGGTTGGTACAAAAATAACAAATTATACATAAAAATTGACTTTTAATTAAAGTAAGAGTAAGTTTGTCGAAGTTGCAGATGAAATTAGAAATAATATTCAGTTAACGACTAAATTATAGCCTAAATTAAGTTTTTATATTTACATATTTTTATATGTTTAGATAGATAGATAGATAGATAGATAGATAGATAGATAGATTTATTTAGTTCAGATGCAATATACATCATGCTCAAAAATGAGCGTTGAACAAGTCAAGTTAAAAAAAACAGTGCAAATATGACAAACTAATGCTAACATTAAAATAAAAGTACAAAATCACATAGGAAAAAATACAATAATACAATAATATAACAAACATTAAAATAACATCGTCAAAAAAAAAACACATTTTAAAAACAATTAGATAGATTATCATTGAAATATTCATCCACAGCATAATAAGCCTTCGCTGCCAAAAATGATTTCAATTTCTTCTTCAGAATCTTAATAGGTAAAGCACTAGTACTGTTAGGTAACTTATTAAAAACTTTTATTATAGAGTGGGGTATATTTTTTTGGATGTAAGTAAATTGAGGTACATTCGGCGTTAACACATCTTTATTCCTTGTATAGTACGCGTGTTCTTTTTGGTAGCTGTCGAAGAAGGATCTGTTTTCAGTTACAAAGATGATTGCCTCATAAATATACAAACCTATTAATGTGAGCACGTTCTTAGAAATGAAAACATTCTTGCAGGATTCTCTTTGAGTCATATTTAAAATATTCCTAAGACATCTCTTCTGCAAAACAAATATTCGTTTCGCATCAGAGGACATGCCCCAAAAAATAATTCCATATTTAATTCTGGATTGTATATAAGCAAAATATGCCGAAAAAGCTGCTTCAACATTAATATTTTGAGACAATATCTTTAACGCATAACAATATTGGGCCATTTTCCGCTCTAAGGAATCAACATGGTACCTCCAATCCAGACGCGAATCAATTGTGATTCCCAGAAACAACAAATGATTTACAGATTTTGGCTCATTAACCGTATTTGCAAGTGGTAGTTCGTGACTATTTCCCCTTGAAAATGTTATCATTTGGGTTTTATCCTTGTTTAGCTGTAAATTCAATGAAGCAAAATATTTTTTCAAAGTTTCAACAGTATTATTTATAGTTCCTTGAATTATATTATGATCAGATGAATCAAAAACTATTGTACTGTCGTCAGCATACTGAACCACATATTCATTTGTTCTTAATGGTAAATCATTAGTATATATAATATACAGCAATGGTCCCAATATTGATCCCTGAGGTACACCTTTCTGTATTAACATTTTATTTGATTTTATAAATTTTCCCAACTTATCAACTTCTGCAACGCATTGCATTCGATCGTGAAGATATGATGCTATCAGATTCTTTGCCACGCCTCTTATGCCACATTCCAATAATTTTGTTAATAAAATATCATGATCGACACAATCGAACGCTTTAGACAAATCCAGGGAGACAGCCACTGTTTCGTGCTTACGATTCATCGCATCTAAAATTTTAGATAATGCCTGATAAACTGCTCTAACAGTTGTTTTGTTTTTCCTAAACCCATTTTGAGTATCCGACAACAAGTAATATGCTTCAAGAAATTTTATTAATCTGTTATATATAATTTTTTCAAAGATCTTACTAATGTTAGGAAGTAAAGCAATAGGTCTATAATTCGAGATATCATTTTTACAACCTTTTTTAAAAATTGGTTTTATATAAGAAGTTTTTAGTTTATCTGGAAAGATACCATTCTTTAGACATAAATTTATAATATGGGACAAAGGATATGAAATCTCGGTACTTACAAATTTCAACAGTTTAACGGGAATTTCATCATCACCTACAGAGTTTGTGTTCTTTAAATTCATTACAACATTATATACCTCATTAGGATAGGTAGGTTCTAAAAATATACTAGGCTGAATATAAGATATAGATTCATATTGTACTGCTGTTTGTAATTTAGGACATTGATTTATAAAATGACTATTTATGCCGTTTAGTACTCTTTCTTTGTTTTTTTCTTCAGGATTAATATGACATAATACCGACTCGGTGTTGTAATCTTTAGAATTTGTAAACATTTTTACTAGATTCCACATTGCTTTACCTTTATTTTTTGAATTTTCAATATAATAAATATTTGACATTTTTTTGGCTTCGGAGATAACATTTTTTAATATCTTGCAATACCTTTTATAGAAATCCTTAGATATTATTCCTTCTAGTTGCTGTTTGTAAAGAACACGTTTCCTCCCACTTGATATCTTTATACCGGTTGTTATCCATACTTTGGATTTATTTTTTATTTGGACAGTTTTAATTGGGAATAGTCGATTTATCAGATTTTTAATTTTGTAAATAAATACTTCATAAGAAATATTTACATCGGTGCAGGAAAAAACATCATTCCAGTTCAATAGCTGAAGTTCACATTTGAAGTGATGCATTTTAACCTCTGAAAATATTCTTTGTTTTACAAAATTCTTAGCATTGTTGGAAAGCCTTTCCTGCATCTCAAAGTTCAAAATTTGTCCTTTGTGATCTGATAGAGCCGTGTCTTCGACTACACCCACATATGGATTGTCATAATTTATAAAAATGTTATCTAGTAATGATTTTGTATTTAAGGTCTCTTGTTGGCTCAAAGATCGTCTGACGTAAATTAAAACATAATAATAAAGCCAAAAACATTTTTGTATTACTACCGCCCTTATTTTCAAAATGTATATTAAAATCTCCACATAATTTAATTTATATTTATTTTTTATTAATATTATTTATTTACTATTAACTATGTTCAGATTTTGATATTTCTTTATTATAATTTATTCATTAAAAATGTATTGTTACACTTTACGAGGCGCAGATTTATAAAAATAAATTTAAATATCGCTTTATTAAATGTATGAAGTTATAATTACGCATTCTTGAAATACTTATAAAACAAAATAATTGTTATTTTCTCAAAAAAAATTGGAGATATACAGGTTGTTACAAATTCGCTTCTCACTACAGGGATCTCAAAAACGGTAAGAGATACAAACTAGCTTAAATGGTGGCAAAGTTGTGTAATCAGGTGATCAACATTATGCCTCTAAAAAATCAAGGTTAACATGATTAGTTTTCGAAATATTTTTGATTTTTTAGAGGCATAATGTTGGTCCCCTGATTACGCAACGTTGTCCCCATTTAAGCTACTTCGTACCTCTTACCGTTTCCGAGATCCTTGTAGTGAGAAGCGAATTTGTAACAGCCTGTATATCTGGATGACTTGGATTTCTGAATTAAGGTTGTAAACATTTTAGTTCATTTTAAGCACTTCCCCCTGAAGCTTTGGTCGAGTATCACAACTTTGATTACCTACTCTAAAGTCATAGTCACAATAAATTCTTTAAAGTACAAAAACATTAAACAAGATATATATTTTTTCAGTCTGTGTATGGATTGTCCGAAGTAACTGCCATAGTTTTCCAATCCATGGTCGACGATGACGAATACAGGTCTACGGCAACAGTAGGTCACATTCATGATCATATTGAAGCCAAAGTTGTCGATGCTGATGACAATATCGTACCCATGGGAACACCCGGAGAACTCTGTATTAGAGCATACGGTAACATGCTGGGTTACTGGGGAGACGATAACAAAACTAAAGAAATTATGGGACAGGATAGGTGGCTCCATACTGGGTAAATTACTTAATTTTTTGCTTGAAATAACTAATGTTCTTCCACACGTTGCTATTTTTCAGGGATCAATTCATTATGAGCGAAGATGGCTATGGAAAAGTAGTAGGAAGGCTAAAGGAGATGATCATTCGAGGAGGAGAGAATATTTTTCCGAAGGAAATTGAGGATTATCTCAATACACACCCACACATATTAGAGTCGTACGTGAGTACGCATTTTTGTATGATTAAACACAATGCGTCTGTTTTTTTAATTACAGGTGATTGGGTTGCCTCATGAAAGGCTAGGTGAAGAAGTTTGCGCCTGTATACGAGTCCAAGAAGGACACTCCCTTACGTTAGAGGAAATGAAGGCTTTTTGCAAAGGAAACATATCCCATTTCAAAATTCCTTCGGTCCTAGTAATTGTGGAGGAAATTCCAAAAACGTTGTCGGGAAAGGTTCAGAAATTTAAACTACTAGAACACGTTGTAAATAACAAATCAAATAAGTAACTGAAAATTTTTATACACGTTGTAAATATGATTAAAATATTTTAACAAACGAAAATCTGCTTAATATCATTCTCTTAGTTCCTAATACGAAACAGGTCGATTTCGAGGGGAACATCTTTTGATCATAAATTCATGGATGTAAGATCATCCCCTTAAACGAGGTGGCAACCCCTTCAAGAATCTTAAATGGCACGCAGGGTTAAGTGTCATTTTAAAGGTATTTCAATTCTCTTTTCAAACATGTATGCTGAAATTAGTTTGTTCTGTCTTAAAATTAATGTAAAAAAACCTGTTGGAAGTGTCGGCAAATAAATCGAAAAAAAAGTTTTCAAACAAGTTTAAGTGTTCAAATTGCAACCCGTGTACTTTCATAAAACCTTTGTTTAACATTTTCCAGAAAATTTTGTGGCACTTGAGTGGTTACTTCATCGTATACTACCACTATTCGGTGGTGAAGATTTTCTAAAGAGGTAGGTTTCGTTTTATAACACTTTTTAAATGACCCTATAAGAAAAAGTCTAATTGTGTTCAATCGGGCGATCTTGGGGGCCATTCAATGAAACCCCTTCTACCAATCCAGTGTTCAGGAAAACGTTGATTCAAAATGTCACGTACAGCAGCTGCATAGTGTGACGGAGCGCCATCCTGTTGAAAAAATACATCATTCTCTGGGATCTGATCGTCGTTTTCAAGAATCGCCACAATGCGAGGGTAGATGAAGTCTTGAAGCAAATTGAGGCAAGATTCACCCGCCAAGTTATCAGGTAGAAAAAATGGACCAACAATATTATTTCCCAGCCCATATATTCAACTTTTCTGGATACTCTGAATGCTGTCCTCTCATAACTTCAGAATTTGAATCACTACAGTATCTGCAATTATGGCTGTTGACCTTTAAGAAAGAATGTGCATTCGTCAGAAAAGCATGTACAATACAAAAAATTGGGGTTGTTCAAAATTTTTGCACTCATCTGTTCACAGAATTGTATACGGCGATCTAGATCATCTTCATTGAGCTCTTGCACGAGATGAATCTTATAGGGATGGAATTAAACCTCTGAAGACTACTACGAGAATTCCTGAAATTCTCTCTAATTTTCTGCTGCTTATGGAACCTAGTTCAACATGTCCCAAAATTTCAACCTGTGCAGCCTCGTCAGTAACAGTGCGTTGCCTTTCATGTTTCTTGTTAGCAACGGTTTCATTAAAAGAATAGATTAAGAGGTGTGTCGTGTATCTACTTAAAAATCGATGTTTTTCGATATATCGCTTGAAAAGATCGATATTTTTTCAACATCGAATACTATCCACAAAAGTTTAATATTACTTTTTTCCAGTCAAACGAAGAAAGTTTGCTGTCCTTGATTCGTCTGTGTGAATGTAGAATCAGAGACTAGAGTAACATAGTGCTTGTAGTGTAATAATCACTGATTTTCTATGAATGTTACTTGAATAGAATTCTACTACTAAGATAGTGGTGAGATGAGTTATACGTTTAATTAATAGAAATATTTTATTACAGATTAAATCTAGAGTGAACCTAAGAAATTAATATTCATTCGTTTAAATATGTATAGTATGGTCGGGATAACGACCGCAAGAATAAATAATTTCCATCGTTGTTCCGCTAGCTGCTCACTCACAGATGTCACTGCCTGTTAATGATATTTATTTAAAATTGAAATCATTAAGTAATGTTAAAATTTACTTTTGTTTTTATTGTAATTATTAGTCAGAGTTAGTTTTTTTAATCGATTCGATGTTTCTATAAATATATCGACATATCGAATAGAAAAATTATTAGTCAAAACATCGATGCAATCCGATATAGCGTATGGCAAACATCGAGTAAATTCGATATATCGATATAACGTGAATATCCCTAGAAGAGATTCTTACCGGGATGCCTTTGATTAAAAATTCTTGCAGTTGTCCATTTCGTTATTTCGAAAACAGAGAGTGACAATTTCAGTTCTCTCTGCAGTGGTGTAAACCATGATAATTTGAATCGTTTGCCTCAAAATGTAAATAATAGCAAATCAATGGATTTCACTACCTAGACAATTCTATTAAAACCCATCACCTTATTAAGACTTCGATAATAAACCTCATTTTTTACAGTTTCATTATCCGGTGAGCTTTTTATTACTATTTTAAGTCTTTTTTTCGATTTATTACACCGACGCTTCCAACAGGTTTTTTACATTATTTTAAGGCAGAACAAAAAAATTTCATGTTTGTGAAGAGAATTGCAATACCTTTAAAATTTATGGTCAAAAGATGTTCCCCTTGAAAGCAAAATCAACCTGTTTCGGGGTTTTCCGAAAAAACCTGTTGCATTGAAAATATTTCAAGTGGACTGTTTTAATTGAGCCACTCTGTATGCACAATCTGTACATAAGAATCCGTCATTAGTATATAACAGCAACGTACAAGTATACACAAGTTCACTGTAACAGATTGTATTATTAGTGTAAACAGATAGATTCACGAATGCAACACATTGAAACTTTGTCAAAGATGCTTTGCAGACTACAAAATCGAATTCTAATCCTTAAAAGTGATGTACGATCGTAAGTTTTGTACTGTTTTTTTTATCATTTGGATATGATTTAAGTGTAATGGAAATATTTCTATTGAAAAGCACACAAATTAACACAAAACAACATTACATAATATTACACAATTACTTCTAACGTGTAAATGAAACGCGTGATTTGAAGGTTGCTTTTCTATGTTTTAATCACTTTTATTAATATTAATTTAGATAACAACTCGACCACTTTTAAATAGTCTATGCCACTATCTAAATCGATGTTGATAAAAACAAGTCAGTGACATTCGTTTTAAACTCATTTGTACTGTGCGTAATAATGAAATACTTCACAAATACTTAATAGTACACCACACACACATATTTTGATACGGATAAAGGTGTGATTTCGGTGGTGCGTCTGGCATCTGCGACTCGCGACTGCGACTGGGCGCGAATTACTGCTTTATAGGCCAGGAAAAAGAGCTGGGAAATGACCATTTCGCAACTTTTTGTTTTGGCAAGCTGAATTTATCACTATAGATGCTAAATATTATGTACAGTAACATATTAGTTTCCACAGTCATAAAAATGGGGAGAAAATTGTTTACAGGGTGGTTAATTGTATAATTTTTACGTAAATTCACGTTTTTCGCTTATAACTTTTTTCCGTTCATTTCCACGAACGTCCAGACTAATAATTAGTTAATTTGTTTATAAGGCCATAACTTGTAAACTATTCAACTTACCGATTCCAGATTTCGTGTGAGTTATTAGACAGTGATAAGGAATGAGAGCATGTGATGCCAAAACGTTCTGATAATAATAACGCAGTTTATAAATGTTTAATTCAAAAGTAATAAATAAACTTTTGATCTAATCAATATTTTTTTACGCTCGTTTTGTAGGTCTTTTGAAGACGAAAAAAAAGTACTTTACTGTTTTCTCGTGGAAATGAGCGGAAAAAAGTTATAAGCGAAACACGTGAATTTATGTAAAAATTATACCATTAACCACCCTGTAAACAATCTTCCCCCCATTTTTATGACTGTGGAAACCAATATGTTATTGTACATAATATTTAGCATCTATAGTGATAAATTCAGCTTGCCGAAACAAAAAGTAACGTCCAACTCTATATTTCCTGGCCTATTTAATGCATATTACGCCAGGGACACATGAGCGCTTTGTTGACGCGCTTCAGCGTTATACAAATTAAAGTACAGCAAGTCACACAGTCAACGCGTGGTATTTCAGCGCGCGTTACAACGCGAGTACGTTCTGACAACGCCGGAGTTATGCTAAACGCGCGTTTTAGAATTACATACGACTGCATCTTGCTGATCACATACGCTCATACGTGTACGCTCATTTTCCAGCTTTTCCTCTTGTGGAATGGCTCTTCTCATGTTCGTATCATTCCTTGCTATATCATTCTTGATTGCAGCCAACAGTTCATTGAATGGGTTGATAGAAATACGGAAGTAATTAACAAAAAGCTCTTTGATGTGGATATAGCGTGTAAAAATAACCATGTCGATACCGTTCACGATTTACTGGATGCACCTAAGATTTTCTTTTTTTGATATCGTTTTTGTTTTAAATATTTCCAAGTAAGGTATGAAAACGTAGCCATTTGATATGCGTTCATTTTCACACGAGATGTGACATGAATCACACGCGATTTCCTGACTATTTTTGCTCGTGTAGCGACTACTGCAATGGACGATGCGCATCATGATGCGCGTTAACTAAACGCTCGTGTGTCCCTGGCGTTAGATGTACGTGGCAACTGTGAGGCGTTCCTGCCGCGAACGCTGGCGATCGAGACAAAATTAAACTGTTTAAGTTTTAATGGAAAAAAATCTCTAAATTTTCTTTCTTCTTCTATTAAGTGAGTATTAATAAAGAGATTGAAATAACCTCCTTTCTTACGTTTTTGTATATATCATGGGCGTCACACCACTTCTGCAATAGAGTTTGTTTTAATAACTGTTCTTCATAATCTTCTTCCAATAAAATCAGATACATGACCTTTCTTACTCATTTTCCCTAATTAAAAATAATAAATAAATAAAACAATAAGCACCTCTTACATTAACCAGCAGACGTAAACTAACAAATGAATTGCCCATTTCTAGACGCTCCACTGTAAACACCCATTCCGCAGTCGCAGTCGCGAGTAGTAGGAGGCCTGAAACCACACCATAAGTGATGACACGTCAAATATTGCGATGTTGGCAGATTTATACTTTTTAATTCGATACGCGAAAAAGAATATAAAATGGAAAATCAGCAAATAGTTCCAGAAAAACGTAATACTACGGTACGGTACAATTAAAAATTATATTTTAATTTTAGGTTAAGGCGACAAAGTAAACTAAGTTACTTGCACAATGTAGGATCGGAACCTCTAAGGCCTCTGACCATAGGCAGGCTTCTAGAAAGTACCGTAGAGAAACACGGTGCTAACTACGCGGTCATCTCCAAACACCAAAATAAGAAATTGACCTACA